TGCAGCAGCCGTGACGTGTCTGTGCTCGACAGGGCAAGGAAAGCTGGAAGCCGCCCTCCGAGCGCTGCAGGATGTGAGCTGGTCTTTTTTATGGCTCTTTAAACAGCTCTAAGTCATCTGGGGATGTTAAATGTTGGAACGGGACCAGTTCTGGCGAAGGGTTTGGCCACAAAGACCTTGTTAGGAAGCCACGGGCCTGGGCTCGGCGGGATCCCAAAGAGCCCAAACCCTCCTCGGGGCAGCTCTGGAACGCCGAGTAACGATGGGCTCAGAGCAGAAGCCCGAGTGCGAGATACGAACGTGCCGGCGTTCCGGGAACCCGTGACGTGCTGGTTTGGGGGCACTGGCTTGTCTTTGCAGAACAGACCAAGAGGACTGAGTGAAATGTGCTTTTATTAGGTCGTGCCGACACGGCAACCCAACAACCCGGCTGGACTCTAAGACAACGTATCCACCAAACAGCACCTGAACAGCTGAAGAGGGTTTCCCGCGTCTACCAGGGCGTATTTACGCAGCTGTATTGAGCGCTCTGGGGAAAACACCATCGAACCTTTCAACGCCATCAGCCATTTTAAATAACTTCTTAAAACACAAGTCACAGCTTCTTAAATCTACAAATCTTTCACTAACAAAAATGACATAAACCTTGTCGAAAGCGTTCCCGTGAGACGGATTAGCAGTTGGCAGACGGGGCATTTCATCGTTCTCCTTCCACCCCAGAGCTACCCCGTGTTGCTCGCCTTCCTATCACAGGCTCACGCTACAGACTAAACTAAACGCCGGCTCCCCTAACTACGAGCCGGCTCAAACCCCCAGCCAGGCACTCAGCTACTGAGCCCTCCCCGTGTTAACATCAGCTATCCTGTCACAGCAGAAAGTGGCACAGCCGAAACCAAACGGGTACCTTCATTTCTTGGACCCCTTTACAGGTCCTTTGACGTGCTGGACAATAACTTTCAAGATCTTTTCCATTTTGGCTTTTGCCAGTGCCTTCCTACAGTACCACACTTGGTCCCATATGGAGCACAGAGGCTTGGGAGCCAGGTAAAGTGGATCGTGGTCGTGAAGCATGTCCGCCGGCCGCCTCCTAGCGTACTCCTTGTACCCTGCGACCGGACAGCTCTCTGGAGTGTCAGGCTTGGCAAAGAGATAGGGACCCGCTGCCCCTGGGTTTACCTCTGCACTGGGGTCATCCTTCCACTCCAAGTACTCCAGCTCCCCCTCATCGCTTCCCAGCACAAGCTGCCCCCAGCACAGGTTATGGCTCTGATGGTGTGTGCGTGCCCCAAAGCCCCTAACGATATTGGTGAACATGAGGTGCAAAAGGCCCTGAGGGTGCATCTGACTTACAAGTCCCTTCCTACGAAGAGTTTCCACATCTTTGTCCATCAGGTTCTCCAAAAGACTCCACTCCGCCTCTCTCTCTTTCTGAGATAGCTGCTGCTGCTTCACTTTCAAGGCTTCCTGAGACGCTCTGAACTCCAGCCCTTTAACCACGCTGTACTCGTAGTCGTGGTCCCTGAGGTGTCTCTCGATGCTCTTCTGAAAGAAGTGCAAGGAGTTGGCAGAAAAATCCGTGCCGTTCTGTCTCTTTGCAGAACTGTAGAACGAGGCCAGGTAATCGTCCAGCTCCTTGGGTGGCAGCTCGTGGATCTCACGCGTTTCCAAGGGGCAGTGTAACACCAGCCAGTCTTTGAAAACTTTGATATCGCTGCTGTTACGGTTTCGCTTCTTCTCCCACTTCTTCGACGCACCTGAAAGACAAGACACAGCAAGAACTTACAAGATCGGTGAAACGGAAGGCGATGCAGAGGAACGCTCACCTTCCTTCTAAAAGTGATCCGGAGACCGTGGGACTTTCTCAGACCCCTTCCCTTAAAGCTCCGGCTGTGTGCCCTCGGCAGGCCGGCCAGCACCCCCCACGGCGCCAGCCTCGC